GACGATTTTCTACGAGGCAAGTTTCATCTGCCGCGGATTTCATAGTTCGAAAATAAATAATATTTTTGGTTTCCATAATAAGTTATTTTTGCTGGGGGGATGGAATATCACTAATTATTTTTTCCAACAATAAATCGACATTTTTCCCAGTTTTGGCCGAAATTAAACAAATCTCACTTTCTTGGCAGTTCAGCAGTTCAATAAGTTGGTTTTTAGTAGCTTCTAATTGGGCGTGCGGTAGGTCAATTTTGTTAATTACCGGTAAAATTTTTAAATTAAGCTTTTTAGCAATTTCATAATAAGCCAGGGTTTGAGCTTGAATGCCTTTCACGGCGTCAACCAACAATATTACTCCTTCGCAAGCAGCCAAAGAACGGGATACTTCATACATAAAATCGACATGACCCGGGGTATCAATTAAGTTAAAAATATAAGGTTCAGGGCTTTCCGGCGGATAATACAATTGAACAGCATTTAGTTTAATAGTAATACCTTTTTCTTGTTCCAGGGAAAGACTATCGAGCACTCTGTCCAAAGATTTATTACTGTTTTTTAAATTTGTTAGTTCTAATAAACGGTCAGCCAAAGTAGATTTTCCGTGGTCAATATGAGCAATAATGGAAAAGTTGCGAATTTTGTTGGTTTTAATAAGCATATATGAAATACTGTAAAATTGATGTTTATTTTTTTGATTTATTCAGGCAATGCTTCGATTTTAGTTTCTTAGTTTTGTAAATTTTTTAGTTGCTTTTCTTGTTTTAATATTATTTTTCACTAATCTGATTATTGTTTTCTAATTTTTCTCTTTTTCATTCTTATTCGAATAATCACCACGACCGAAATTAATATTACTGGTGTTAATGCCAAAAATACTATGACCGGTAGAGGAATTTTATTGCTCTGGGCTTTTGGTTTAGATTGTTCTTTTTTGTCTTTATTATCGTTTCCCTTGTTCAATTCTGACGGTTTAGCCCCTGGCTTTGGGGCATCATCCGTTACTTTAAGGCCCGATTTCTCTCCTTTTTCTGGAAGAGGTGGCAAAGGAATTAGTGGTTTTTTTTCTGAGCCTTGGTTGTCTGGATTAAGAGGATTAGTAGGGGAACTTTTTCTTCGGGCTGCCATTATATTTCCTCGAACTGTTTTCACCAAGTCAAAAGTGGTGGCTTGATTGAGAGCTTGGTATTCATTAGTTTGTTGTTCGGGACCTAAGTCTTGTTGCACTTTTGCTTTAAACTTGCCGAGAATATGCTGATAGGCGGCTTGTTCTTGCTTTTCAATTTCTGCTTTGCTTTTGTAATTCTTAATCTCAGTGGGAAAGTTTTGGAACGGGTCCTTATCAGTTAGAACGAGATCTTCGGCTTCTTTTAGTCAATTAGCAAATTGGGTGATAGCCGCATTTCAGTAATTGGTTAGTTTTTGGGCTTCACTGAGCTTGTCTCAGCGTTGCTGTAATTTAGTGAGAGCGTTGGTTACTTCGGAATTTTTGTTTTTATAGGCTTGTTGGTGGTAGGAGGAAGGGGAAGTCGTAAATTTTTTTAATCTCTCAATGTTACTTTGTATGTAATTATCCTGACATATTTCCGCCGCTTTTAGTGCCATAATTAGTTCTTTTTCCGCCCTTTTGAATTTAATTTCTTCAATAATTTGTGGTTTGGCCTTTTCCAAAGTAGTGTAGGGCATTCTCTCATAATCATGATACTGGGAAGAAATTGTAGCAATCGTGACTGGCGGAGGACCAAATAATTCTTTCTTTATTTCTTTAATAATTTCTTCAATATCTTCTTTAAGTTCAGCAATAGTTTTATTGATTAAACTGAGAAAAAGACCTTCTTGAATTTTTATTTGTGAAACACTACCAATCACTCATAAATCCCCCTCCTTAGCAAAAAAACGAGAATGAACACTATTATTAATATAATCGTCTATTTCTTTATTGGTATAAACCCCGCTACTCTTTAGTTGTTGTTTAATATTCTCTATTGCTTGGAGTTTTTTTTGGTTAAAAACCCGAGTAATGTCAGCCAAAAGTCTAATAACATAATTATCAGCAGCATCCAAATCATTGTTCGCAACTATTAAATCTTTTATTTCCTTTTGGT